AAATATCATATCGTCCCTCGGAATAAAACCCATATTGAATCTCTCCCAGTAGATAACCTCTATATATACAGTACAAGGGCGTAGTCAGCTTTCAGTCAGCGGATGCGATCGTGACATAACTTTAATCGCAAAAAAATATTTATTTTGAATTTTAACATTTTGAATTTTAACAAGAAGGAGGGAAATCACCTTATGCAGACAGAGCCTGTGGGAAATATTGGGTGCGGAGCAAATGAGCGGAGGGTGCGGAGCTAACGGTCATTTTTGAATTTAAATTTGGGATATTTCTGAAACTAAGCCGTTTTGGGACTTCAAATATACCAAGGTATGTGTATTTGACACCAAATATCAATACAATTGTGAAAATAGTAGCGCAATTCATTCTATAGCGACGCAGTGTGCCTTAAACCTTTCCCAGATCTATATATTTTAAAATTATCCTTTTAATACTGAGTCCCCAGCATTCATAACAAATGGTGTTCAAGGTACACTATCTGTACAAATTATTTTTGCATCTTGGAAGCCAGGCAGTATCTGTGTGATTTTATAAAAAATTCGGAAATATTTTTCAGATATGAGCCCCCTCTAAATATTGGGTGCGGAGGAGCTCCATAAACGTACCTCCGCACCCAATATTTAGAGGGGGCTCATATCTGAAGAACATTTCCGAATTTTTATAAAATCACACAGATACTGCCTGCCTTCCAAGATGCAAAAATAATTTGCATGGGTAGTGTATCTTGAACACCATTTTTTATGAATGCTGGGGACGCAGTATTAAAAGGATAGTCTCAAAATATATGCGTCGCTATAAAATGAATTGCACTACTATTTTCACAATTTTATTGATATTTGGTGTCAAATACACATATCTTGGTATATTTGAAGTCCCAAAACGGCTTAGTTTCAGAAATATCCCAATTTTAAATTCAAAAATGACCGTTAGCTCCGCACCCTCCGCTCATTTGCGCCGCACCCAATATTTCCCACAGGCTCTGTCTGCATAGGGTGGAAATTAGCGCAACAGATTTCGGACAGTCATATGTTGTATTTTGGTCAATTTCTGAGGATTTAAACGGGTGGATATGTTAGGCCAATGCATTACCTCCAGGAAAAGCACTTCTAGAGATGATAAAGTAATTTCGACTTTGAGACAGGGTAGATGCAAACAACCCACCCACATGTTTTTATCTGAACTGTTTTCCTGAATTTCAACCCCTTCCATCCCTGCTTTTTTAATTTTTCTTGCATCAATGTTGCGGTTTGAAACATAGTTAACCCATTTGAAGGAATAAGTGATTCCTCTTAGATAAAGTGGAAAACAATATTTCCCATGTTAGGGAAAACTCATGCAATCCATTGCTTTCAGCTAATTTTGGTCACCCATTATGGATATCTTTAAAACACCTAAAGGAATCATTCATTCCTTTAAAGTGGTTAACTGTGTGTCAAAACTTAACTTATCGATACAAAAGAAATTGAAAAAGCAGGGGTATAAGGGGTTGAAACAACAGAAGAACATTTCAGATAATATTTGGGTTGGTTGTTTGCAACTCCCCTGTCTCAGTCGAAATTATTATATCATCTCTATGAGTGCTTTTCATGGAGGTAATGCATTGATCTAACATAATGCACCTTTTTAAATCCTCAGAGAATAGCCACTATCCAACATATCACTGTCCGAAATCAGTTGCGATACTTTCCCTCCTCCTTTATGCAACGCCCTTCAAAACTGAGCTAGAAGCTTCAACATTCAAATAACAAGTAAATTAATTGTGTGACAAAAAATCGCAAGAAAAGAGGAGAGGCTTACATGTACTGAGACCCACACCAATCATCAAGTCCAAGAAACAGCAAAAAATCATTGTATAGTATAGGGGCAAGTTGGGACCTCCATAGACTTAACATTGCGTGGGACCTCGTGGGACTTCTTAGGATTTTGCCCCATAGAGTCCGCACGACTCCATGGGACTCCGTCGGATTTTGGCCCATCTTGCCCCATCGAGTCCCATGAGGTCCTACGTGGGACATGGTGAGATTCGATGGGGCAAGTTGGGGCAAGATGGAGCAAAATCCCACTGAGTCCCATCTTGAAGTTTTTCCGGGCACTGGGTAATATATCTTTATTTTCCTAAGGGTATACCGCATATTCAAACCTCCCATAACGCAACACTTGTGTATTTGATATATATATTAAGTGTCTTGTTAAACCTACTGTTTACATTGTAACATTAAGGAGTTGGTTTATCATGAAAAAATGTGTATGTTTGCATGGCCGGGTGAATGGCAATTTGTATACTAGATTATCGGATATTATTTTTCTTGACTAATTAAATGGTTTAAAACATTTCTTTTGAAAGATCTTCACATCTGGGTTTTTAATAAGCAAGTAGTTTCTATCTGTGAAATCAAGTGACTTGTGAACAAAATGACATCGGAATATTCATAGGCCAGGGACGATTTGAATAATTTTCTGAATAAAGATGGCATGGTAATCGATCTGTGTTAATTTATAATTCTCTAGAAATTCCTCTGCTTCCATCTTTATATTGGCCCAAATCCTATAGGAATATAACATTTTATGTAAATGAAATACTATATTTTGTCCGTGGACATTAATAATCACAAAAATAGATGTATGGGGGCATTCGAAATATCATTTGTGATTACACTGTGTAATAGCCTGTATTGAATTTAAAGAGTGACACAAAAATGCCACCCACTAATTTTGGAATAACTTTCTCAATAATTGAGCTTCGTGATATTTTTGTGGAGATAAAATATTCAGTGGAAGAATGATTAATATGCTAGCATCGATAACTTAGAAATTAAGAGATATACGTATATCTCATTTTCCGCGGAGGCATGCTCTCACACAAAAAATTACTCAATAATATCATGTATTTTTCAAAATTTACTCAATAAGCGAGTCAATTCTTCTAATTTAGTGCTCGTTGTAGTAAGTGTACAAGTCATGTGATTGATTAATCAATATTTTATTACAATTATAATATCCATGCAAGTTGTATCAAGCAATATCCTAAAGCAACATATATGTATCAAGCAATATACGTAATGTGTTATCTCATAATCGTTTCTAATGATAACATATGCGTTCTTAATTGATTATGCATAATTCACTATTCGTTATGACTATTTTTATATTTTTAATGTTGTATGAGTTAACAATTTTGGCTAAACCATTGCGATTCAATACAATATGATTACGCACAGTGGCTCAATTTATTCTACAAGGTATGCTTAATATTTCATACAATGTAATTTGAACTGTCACCTTTGTCGTTGAGGAAGAAAGAGAAGTGAACTGCAGAGAGCAGTAATCGTAGGTACATTTTTGGTAATACAAATGTTCCTGCAGATATGAAACTACAAAAATATGAAAAACGTATATAATTCAATTTCCCTTAAATATACTTAGTTATACCTACACAAATGCTTAGGTCACGTAATATCGGTACAGTATTTTTGAAAACGTATAATTTCAAACGTTTTTCAAATATCAACATTATTGTTCAAATAAGGTGACATATACTATTATATTACTTGATCATGTTATGAGACAGAACATCACACACAACCACAGCTCTCTTACGATTCTCATAAAATGTCAAGCATAAGACTGTATGAGTAGTGACAGAACAAAACACTATGTACAGTGTGTCACACCTTACAAGTCTTAAAAATCTAGAATTGTTAACAAAGACACGTTTAAGTAGCAATGGAATCTTGAATAACAGCTTTAGCTGTCTCATGAATCACGTATCTTAAAATTGTCAAATATAAGTCTGTTTGAGTATTTATAAAATACAGCATTGGACAGACACGTCGCAAAAAGGTCGCGCACGTGTGTCTTTAGGGTGTCGCATGGCTTTATTTCTCCACGATATAGATAAGATAATATTCTAACTAAAGAATATAATATATGTTACATCATATGTTTTAAAAAATAGAATCTGTTGACACCGATCTTTTTAGTTCATTTTTGTTACCTTCAACTTTTCAGACCAATTTTAAATAAGTCAGAAATGATTATTTTGCTCCTCAGCTCTATTATGTACAGATGATTTTTTTAGCAAACTAATGTCAATGTTTTCTGTTGTATGTCAAAAAGTCCAGAAAGAAAGGTCTTCAAAATTCATTAAAATAGGGCAAATTTACGCCATTTACCTATTTTCAAACACATATGTTTTTTCACAAAAACAATTGTTTCGTGTTTTATGATGGTCCTAACTGCTTGTGAATATATCTAAGATGTCAGAGTCATTCATTCTTAATGTTTAGAGATATGGAGGGTAACGTGGAGGACGAAAGAATTTCCATATGTGTACATTTTTCTCAAAAACGTCACATTCTGTCGTGTAAAAGTGGAGTTACGTGTAACAATACGTGCGTGACCATATTTGCGACGTGCCTCAGCATTAGCTTTCTTACGGTTCTCATATATCATCAAAATGTCAACATAGGTTATAATAGTCTGACCTCTGCAATTAGCATATATCTAGACAAGGCATTAACATCCAAAATGTCACCACCCGCCATTTGTTACCGACGCCGATGCAAAACACAAATCGCCAAACACGCGGTGTTGATATAATAATTAAACGTCAAGCATAAGCCGAAAATACAATATTACTATGGAACATTTATGGAATGAAATATAGCATAATTACATGTAAATTATGATCCATACATATTAAGAATGTTAAACTTAAACTAGCATCCGCTCATTTAAATACAAAACTGTCGGCTGACGATTATTCTCGCGATTGCTAGAGACTCTAATGAATACTTTACTAATATTTACTTGCTAAAAACCAACGATTTTTTAAAATTACAACCTGAACTAGGACAAGGCTTTGAGTTTACTTGAAGGCGGTCGTATGAAGGGTAATTATACGACCTCAATAATAATTTCTGTCATTTTCGATGAAAATTTGAGTTTTGTTATTTTATATTATAGAATGATTATTTGTATTTCGTCAAAGCTCTATCGAATAGATCTCTTCCCCTCCGGTCATCTCCTATCTTAGGCATACATAATTTCTCATTGTAAAATACTGATTTAGTCATACTATGGAACTTTTGACAGGTTAATTTTTCGGCTTCTTATCCTTTTTACTAATGGCTCTTCGGAAACCTTCCTTTAAACCACCAAAAAAGGACCCAATTGCCCCTAAGGCACTATATTTTTTGCGTTTAGCTTCCATTTCGGCGTCTTTTTTCTCAAATTCATCCAAAATACCACGATGAGAAACAAAAGGATCGTGGCCTTCTTGCAATAGTTTAGCACATTCTTCTGCTCTTCTTCTGAGTGTATACAATTCTTCAATGCGTTTTTGATAACCAGGACTCCGGTCGCCCGTTTCAGCTTGAATCATTGTGTCGATGTAGTCAGTAGTTGACATCGGTTTTGGCTTTAGGGCGATTTTGTCAAGATATTCTATGGTTTGTCTATTTTGATCTATTAAAAGCAGCGTTTTATCGCGTTCTTTGTCAAATTCCCTTTTCAGCTTCTGCATCAAATCAATTTTCGTTAGTCTGTTTTTCATGCTGTCATCGTAGCGTGCTTTTAAGTGATCATTTGTCTTCCTGACAGTTTTTCTGTGAGGAACCATTATGAACGGTTCGTGTTTATGCATAGCGTGTGAACAGTGGCCAGGACATGTCATGCATTTTCCGTTTTCGGAATCCATAGCTCGACAATTAATTTTCTCTCCATCTGCTTTTGTACAGTTATCATGACATGTTATATGGCAGTTAAGGCAGTAAGTAGTGAGTACTCCATTATTGGTTGGGCGCTTCACCAACGTTTCCTCATCAATTGTGTATTCGAACGATCTGTTTTCTTTTATTGCCTCCTCGTGCTTATCTACAATTTTCATTTCCTCGTTAAGTTGCTCTAACTTATTTAATCCCAGTGTGATGGTGTTCTGGATTTGTACTAAATTCAACTCATACTTTTGCCGGAGGTCCAAAACTGCCTGAGTCAAGTCTAGACTCTTCGGTTTACATGTATTGAGAGCTTCAAAGAATTGTTTGAAGCTATTCTCTCCCATGACCCAAAAAAGATGTTCCATCAAGTCGGTTTGCACTTCCTTCTCTATGAATATGGCAGGATTATTGAACTTGAAATATTTTTTATATGTTATCCCTGCCTTATGCAGTCCACTTAGAACTTGAGGCTCTCGGGCGTCTGCAAACGTGAGCAGCATCATGATGTTATCTTTGATATCTTTCCCAAATATTGATAGGATCTTGTCGAAAATGTATCTCTGTGTAGGTGTCAATCGGGGAAGTGAAGACTGTGATACGAATCCAACTGCATCTATATGGTTTATTCTCGCCTCATTTGTTGCTTTAAAAAACGTATGTATTTGTTCTGTTATTTCCTCATCCCTCTCTACACCCGCCGTGTCGCCAAAACCAGGTGTATCGATAATGGTTAACGTTGTATCTTTGACTCGCATCCCACTCTCACTGTGTATAGTATACGCTATGATGGATTTTGTTTGGCTTTCTGATTGGTCAGCAGCTGAATCCTCGTTTATGAGTAGAAATCTTGCTTCACAATTCCTTTCTACACCAAGCAAATAATTGACCATGACATTGATCAGAGTGCTTTTTCCAGAACCCGAAGCACCTACAATCATAATGACCCTTTCTCTCGCCCTATAATTACTTCGTTTTCCATATTCGTATTTCTGAATCATCCCGTCTTTGCTTACGTATGTTGATTTCAATTCAAGTTGATAGACAGACGGATTTTTTGATGTATTGATCTTCTTTCCGCTCGCTGAAGCCCTGTCGATTGGGGATGGAGCCAAATTTTCGCTTTTTTCATTATCATCGATCTCATAATCCTCACTTATTTCACTCATTTCACTTGTTTGACCATCATCATATTTTGCGACAACTGCAAAGACATAAGTCGTATCGCGTTCCAACTTCACCCAAGACTTCACTTGTCCAGTCGGATCATCGGGGGCATCGATTGTTTTTATTGTCCATTCGTCATCTCCCAATACACGGTACATTATATCATATTTCTCGACGTCGTTTTCTTTCATGCTCAAGGTACTACTCCATGTAATAGATACTTTGTTTTTTGCCTTGTTTTTCTCCTCCATCCAGAGTGCTGGTTTTCCAGGAGTTGGCAATCTTGACGAGGCCATTTTTAAGTTTGAACCGATTTAAATAAAAGTGATTACAGTTTTTAAAGAAAAATCGAGCCCATTAGAAAAATACAGTTAGCAAAATATGACGCAACCGAAAATTCTCCACCTTATGACCAGTATACCAGGTCGTATGTAGATATGATATTAATACAATTTCTGAATTGTATACAATAACTGTCTTAAACACTTTGTGGACAACATTTGGAAAAATAAAATAAACAGTGTCAGAGATAAAGCAATGCAATGCTAAAATGTCCTTGCTCACGTGTCAATATTCCTGCTACTACAATCAATACTAATTGAAATTCATTTGGATCTACTTGGACGAGGCCACCTTCATCCCACGTCACCTCTGAAAGACAGAAACAAATATATCGTTATTATTCAGATTCTAAATTTGCTGTGCTTCAATACTATCCTGTTGTGTAAGTGAAGTATCATACAACAGTTGGATACTATATGCGATGACAAGGAATCCGAACACCTCCATCTAAATATTTAATCGGGAAAAGGCAGAAATAGAGTTTACACGTTGTTGAAAATTGAAACTGTCGCGTCGTACAACTTCATACCTGTCAAGTAAAAAAATAAATCGGGAGGAAATCGGTATTTCTATAAAAATCGGGAGAAAACAAGACTATGTAAAATCCCATGATTAATACAATATCATAAACCTATTAAACATACATATCAGTTGTTTTAATTCGTTTTAACCTGTTATCATAAATGTATAAGACATAATTATAACAATGAATTATACGGACAATTTTGGAGTTTCTCTTCTGATACTTGTATAACTTGTTTTAATTTGTTATCAGCTGTTATCAGCTGTTATATCCCATTTGATTTAACTGGGAAAAACACATTATACTGGATGATACACTTCTCTGCTCTTGCGTATAATTTGTTTACATTAGGTTACATGCTGTTGACACAGCGTGTTGACAGTTGTTGCCATAGCTTAGACATATTGAGTGTTTTAAGAAGCGGGTATCGATAAATTAAGTTTTGACATTTAAACGTTGTAATGAATTAATATAAATGATTTTTACAAAGACCCCCCACGAAGTGGGATTCTTTTTACAAAGACCCCCCACGAAGTGGGATTCTTTGTACCTTATTCCGGGCAATCGCCAGTGGATCGGTCACGTGACCTAAAGACCGCCTTTATTACCTTATATGGCAAATTGTCAAGGGAACTGCCAAGTCGTCATACGACACGATTACGGATCGATTGTGTTTCCAAGTAATGTCGTCATGTGACGATATCTAAGTAATATATGGAGGACTTCCCACTATCCGTGGGCATTACACATTTATATTTCATTTTTGTACTTAAGTAGTTTGTAGTTAGTTGTATGCTTTGTATATGACCCATGATGAGGATTGAAATACAACAAAGCTGATAAATTTGAAATTTGAATTTGTGACGTAGAACGCATTGTCCGCCACGCCATTGCTCTCAATTTTGTCTGAACGGGTAAGCATATTCTAACATTTCTGTTAATTTAAGTTTGATTTGTGTTTTTATAATCGCATTTCACTCCAACGTGATTATAGAAATGAGTAGAATTGTAACTTCTTATTGTACTGAATCATTATTCGGGCCAGGTGGTGTAAAATCAATTTATGAACTTAAAGAAATTTAGATTTTGTTTCTCATGGTCCAACGAGTTTTCCAGATGCTTCACATAGTCACGATCTGATCTATTTCTAATGTTCTGTAAATGACTATTATGATGCTGGTCACAAGGAGAGGTATCAGAAGTTCAACGTCTGATAGGAAACTAAATAAATCTAGTTTTGACTTTTGAGTTTGACCCCCCTCCCCCAAAAAAAGATGATCATCGCAGACTTTTCGCATGTGGACTTAGCCTAGGACTTTCGTGGATTTGGGATTTTCATTGGGATATTACCATAAATTATGTAGAATTAAAACATGTGACAGTAGGCACAACATTAGCAAAAAAGGTAAACTCCTTATCTTAAAACCATTCCAAGGAACTCTGATCCGAGTCAAAATTGCACAAAAATTGAAATGTTAAATTTTGTCTGATAGAAAACTGAAATGGCTTTGACCCCCTCCCCCACCCTTCTAGATTTATTTCGTTTTCTAGTCTCATCCGCCTCGACAATGAACCTTAGATGCCTCCTGCGGGACTTATGTCACGAGACTGGCTATATTACCATCATACGAACGATCATTTTTAAACTGGAAGGTCAAGCGGAACTCAAATGAATATAGACTGCCCCACTTTATTCTTTTTCAGACAACATCAACACTAACAACAAGATCCTATACTTACAACAACACCAACAACAAGTGAAACAACAATTAATGCAAACAATTATGAAGGTTATGTCAACAAAGACGTACATTATAAATCAGGTGTGAAATCGGCAACAACTATGAACAAAAGTGCTACTTTAGAAACGGAGGAAACGCATTCTGATACTCATAGCATCTTTCTGTTTCACCTGAAACCTCAGGGCTGAGAAGATTTGAGATGGCATGGTTTATCATGATGGAGGAAACGTAATTTGTAAGTCTTTAACTTAAAACTGATTTATTTCTTTTTGCTAGTGGTCTCTTTGTTTTATTTTCTATTCATGAAAAATTAATGAGAGTGTTTCGACCCTTCCCATTCGCGGTTTATGTCGCAAGAAGTACTGTTGCTTAACCTTTCTAATAATCGTATGGTTACAGGGTGTCCGGAAAGTAAAGATACAAATACTCTAATTTTAAGAGATTTAGTTTTGTTGTAATGAAATTGCTACAGATTGTAGAGGAACTACATTACAATACATCTACCAACTTTTATAACATATAGTCTCAATGTGTTAAAGTTACGGTTGTCATGGTTACAGTGGTGAGGGGTATGCGGAGCAGTTCCAGGATATTGCTAAATTGTGATAAATTGCTAAAATATAACCATTTGAAATAGTGTTTATTATTGTATTTCTTATCAGTTTTTGTTTTGTTCAATATTGTATTCTTGCTGCCAAAGTATTCTCTTCAGTATAACGATATCATTGATACATATCAGAACTATGTAATGTCACAAGTAATCAAAGTAAAAGAGTATATAATTATATAGCACTTAAGTGCTTAGAAAAAGGGTCCCTGGATTAATAGGAAAGTCAATAGTGCACCTCCACAGTCAATGCTCCAAAGCTCAAAGCAAAGAAAACAAATCTTACAATTGATTGTCTTGACATTAACCTTTTTGTACATATTTCCCTGATAATGTCCTGTTGGACTTCTACATTAATGAATATGTTAAAGCAATATTTGTGAAAAGTTCAACATAAAAATGAGACTCAGCTGGAAGCCAATGTTGTCAGCAATCTTAGAGACTGACAGCAAAGGTTTTGTCGGGTCTTTGAATCTCCGGTCAAAATGCACCAAGAATGTTTAGATAAAGGCGGAAAATACATAATACTGGATAACAGTAGTAATGTCAAATGATTAAAAAATGTTACAGTACTAATCTTTTTGCTTTTGTGGTACATAATTTAATGCATAATAGCAACAGACAACAGAGTGTCAATATGATATGAACAGGAGAAAAGAATTATAAAACATAATTGTGACGCTGCTCCACATACCCGTGACTCCTGTTACCATAACAACCATAACTTTTTTATTTTGAAACAATTTGTCATGGCAGTTGCAGGATAAATTTATATAATGTCATTCTACAATCTGTAGCAATTTCATCCCACAACAGGTAAATCTAATAAAATTAGAGCATTTGTATCTTTACTTTTCGGACACCCTGTACATCTGCAGTTTATAATGTGACGTTTTAAATCGTATATTTTAGTGTCCAAATATTGAATAGGCTTCTGAACACTAGCCTATTACTGCAATGAGCTTGACAATTGTATCATACAATAATATAGTATCTAAAAAACTATTCGTATACTAGTAAATACATGAATTTTATACGTCTCTGTTCAAATGTTGAACATGTTGTACAAAGACAAGTAGGAAATGTATTGACTAAGGCCGCACATATATGATATGCATATACAATCATATATGATATGCTTTTATCTCATATTTCCAGGGCATGGTAATAACACAGGTCAAGAAGGATGACGTACATTAGAACAATCCACAAAGTCCAAATGACATCACGACAAGATCCAATGAGTGACAATGAGTGTCCAGATGTCATTTACTCGGGATTTAATTTGACTTTTGAGATTTGATGTATATTTTTGGGCTATAAGACGCCACAATGCTAAAAGGTACCTGCTAAAATTACATGATTGTTTTATGTCACCGTGTAGAGATGGTGACATAATGAAGTTTGTTAAAATTTATACGCATATTTAAACTTCCTCTTGGTAATGCAGTACAGCATCAACATTACGTTAAAGAGCACGAAGCGCTATCCATATTGTTTTTGGTGAAGAAGTCATTAACAAAAATAACAATAGAGTTCCTTACTTGGGACCTAAGTAACCCGACCCCATCCAGTATAACAATAGCCTATAGTACAAGTGGCGCTACATGCTTCTTGTGACAATATAACCATTTACTAATAGTTAAATCAACATTTCGCTATCACTCCATCTTTTCCGCCCCTTATACCCTAACTTCGGGTCTTTGTAGTTTTTCAGTGATTTTTTCACTGGATTTTCTTGTTCATAATAAGTCACCAGAAGTGATAAGTGCAGCAGTTGACAGATATATTTTAGTTTTAGCATTTACAACGTGCTTGCAAAAACACGGGCGCCCATTTAGATTATTAGCGGTTTTATTATAATATTTGATTGGTTCAATGCGCTCCATGAATGTGGGCACTTTATTAACTAAAATCAATATGTCTTAACATGAAAGCTACATTGTTAACGGAGACAACGTAAGACTGCGACATTTTAACCCATTTCAAAATTGTATAGTTTCTAAATAGCTGAAAATGCTTACATAATAGATGTCACCCTTGCTTGTCTTTGGTTTTCTAGGGCCAGACCTCCAATCACTT